GCCCAACTTTATGGAAGACTGCAAATGCCTGGAACTAAGCTACTGCTTGGAAACTTAAGCACACAATGACAAAAGCAGTGCGCAAGGGCAGCACACAGAAACATCTGAGGATACAGAAGTCGCTATGTAGACTAAGGCTGTCACCACCCAGCTTGGCCCAACATGGTCACAGCAGGCTCAGGGACAGTCCTTTGGCCAATTGCACGCCCAAGAAGGTGGTTTATTATTACTAATTGCTACCTTTCCTGTTTAGGTATCCACAGCATTTTCCCACTTCACTGAGCAGAGACCCTATAAGTCTGCCAGACTACAGGACTAGCGGCAAAAAGGTCACCGAACCACAAGAGAAACGAGTTCTGCAGGATTAAAAAAGCAGAAGTCAAACAAATGTTGCAAACCTCAAATAAAAAGAAAACATTTGCAAGTAGCACTTCCTCGATTTCACTTGGGTATACGTTCTGAAGGTCTAACAGAATTGCTTCCTTCTGATGAGCTCATATTTAGGTCTGTAGGACTGGAAATACCAACCCAAAGTCAACTTTCACCACGCACTGCCAGGCATTTAGGTGATGTCCATAGGGAAAGGGTAGTTTCAGGCACACAACATTACATTCCATTCAGATGGTACCAGCGTGTTTCCATTTCTAAGCTGCATGTTTCTAGCCTAAAAGGTTTAGAAATATCAACAAGTAAAAAAAAAAAAAACAAACAAAAAAAAAAAACAAAACGGAATTTAACTACAGCTGAAGTGTCGGAAGCCTCAACTCTAGGTACAAGCACAGAGCATCTCGGATGCGAGCAGCCCCAAATGCGCCTGCCATGGCCCAAGGGCGGCCCACACGCCCAGGCCGCGCACATCCACCACCACTGCAACGCAGCAGGAGGTGAGAGCGAGGTGTCGGTGCGCGGCAGCGCGGGCAGGGCGGAAAGGAACACGGAACAAAGCTGCAGGGGGACGGGGCGCAGCACAGCACAGCCTAAAGTACGGGAACGAAGGGAAAAACCCGAGATTCCCCCGCGTACCGTCCCGCCCCGCGGCCCCCCGCCCCGCACGACTCCCCTCCCCTCCCGACACGGAACCCCCCCGCGGCCCAGGGCACCCGGCGCCGCCCCCCGCCCCCGCCCCGCACGCAGGTGCCCCCTCCGCTCCCCGCGGCCCCTCACCATGAACTTCAGGGCCTTCTCCTGCAGCACGGCCTCGGCCGGGTCCATAGCCGTGCGCGGGGCCGCGGTCGCCCCTCCTCGCAGCGCCAGGCCGCACCGAGCGCCGACGGGAACCTGCGCTGCCCCGCGCGCCCCCCCCGCCGGCTCACCCCCGCCGCCGGCAAAGCGCATGCGCCGCCCGCGGGCCCACGGGAAATGGAGTCTCCCGTCGCGCCGCCGGCGAGGGCCCGAGGGTGAGAGAGAACTACAAATCCCAGAGGGCGGTGCGGCAGCGGGTATGTCGGGAGCCGGGTGGTGCACGCGCCGTCAGCTGGCGAGAGAGCTGCTGGGAGTTGTAGTACGGAGCGCTGCGTGACTTGAGGGCAGGGGCGGAAAGGAGGCCGCTGTTTGCGGACGAGGAGAGAGCCCCTTTTCTGGGGACGTTTGGGCTTTGGCTGCCCCAGGCTGCTCTCGGCGAGACGAAAGGTTGTCTCCCTGCGCTGTTTCTAATTAGCGTCACACGCGTGGCTAATGAAAGGAGATCCCGAGTGCACGTTCCCGACGCTCGGCTCCTGGCTCTGCTGGCAGACCGCTCCGCACCGTGCCCACGCAGCCGCGATTTCTGAGTCACTGCTCACTTTAATGCAGCCCGGACACCACCCGCCACTCATCCCGTGCACTGGCACGTCTCTACGTGCACTGAACCGGTACCAAACGCATTTAGAGAACTGTGTACGGCCGGTCAGTGGTGGGTGTTGCTGCCCCTCGGCAGCGCGGCACAAACTGCTGAGAATGGCAGCACTGGAGGGGATCGCACAGACTGGCTATGCTCAAATCTCTCCACAGTCACCTCCTCACATTGCCAGCCTCCCGGGCTGCTGCTTCTTCCTTTGGCATAACGATGCTAAATCACTTTTCCCTCAAAATGAGGCCAAACGCCTTGCTGCCTCAAGCAGTGAGCAATCAGGAAGCGCTGTCCAATGGCCCTTCGGTAACAGCTGCACATGGAGGAGGGTGTTTGTTGCAGCCCCCCGTGTCCCTGCTCCGTAATCTCCCCTATGCACACCAAATCGGAGCAGCCCACTTGTTGGCAGCCATCACCACTAATCCTCTCCGTTTTGTTAATTTTGTCTAATCTCTTCCCAATTTGCCTGCATTTCTTACCGCCTGCCCAAAAGCTGAAGCTGCTTTACATGGAGTAGCAGAGACGGATTGCTTGCTTTTACCTTCCAATTGCTTCCATTTTACCTTTCCCTATAGTAAGCATGACACTGTATTCCTATATAATTTGTGATCCCAATTCTTCTCCTTGCTGCTTTTCTATACGTGATCCTGCACCTTAAGAAGTTTACCCTGAGTTTCTTCCAAGTTAGATGCAAAAGAGCCAGCAACAAACATCAACTCCCTCTTGTCGATATTTGGCTTGAACCCATTCTTTCTGTTCCCGTGCTGGAGCCATACAATGAAGCTCCAAGCTGCAAGTACACTGCCAGCATCCCCTGCACACCAACCCTGCCCTTCATTTTCTCTGAACATCTCATCTTCAGGTTTCTAAACAAAGTAATCAGAGAGAACACGATGCATAGAAAGTGCCCATTACTGCATTCCTTGCAGGGACACCTGAGCTGGGTGGTGCCAGGCTGTGATGCTGGAGGAACTGTGCCCCTAGATGAGTAGCATGGGAGATGGTCGTAGGATAACCTTATGTGCTCTGGATCTCAAGGATGGAAATCTTCCAGAAAAAAGTTCTCGGGTCATCAGGATATGAGCTGTTATTCTTGGCCTGTCCCAGTCACGTTCTGGGTCACTGTACTCAGCACTGAAATGCTTGGCTGTAACAAGCCTGGGCATTTTCCAAAATGCTGACAGTGCTGAAAACTCTTACCACAATTATGTAAATGACAGTAATTATAACAAGAGAGTCCTATAATTGGCAAAGGGATGGCTCCTGTAACAGTATTGCAGGCAACTGAGGGTCACAAGTACTGGGAGCACAGCTCTCCTGCTCCTTCGTGTAAGCATAGTTCATGGGTGGGATAAGAGAGAATCCCCTCAGCAGCAGCTTGGCAGCTTCGGGCTTTGGTGATACATTTTGTCAGTAATGTTTGATGCTGGCCCAATTGTAGGAAAACTAGGAAGTGTAATACTGCAGCACCAGATACCACTGTCCCAAAGCCCTCTGGGCTGACTGATGTGTCTTTAACCTAAAGGTAAGTTCTTGGGATCATAAAAAGCATAGCTTCATAGTGGATCCAAAACAGTAATGGCTGCTTAAGAACTGGAGTTCTATTCTTCACCTAAACTGGACTGAACCTTGGTAGAAGAAGAGACCAGCTCAGTTCTCATCAGCAGAACATTGTGGACCCACAATACAGGACAGGGCAGAGGGACAGGACAGATCTCTGAGCACCCCAAGTCAGCCCACAGAGACAGAGCGCCAAGGAAGGAGTTGGAATTACAAGTTAAATAACAATTTGTTTGGATTGCAAGAACCCAGGGATGGACACATGGTCAGTTCTGCCTCAACCACAGCAGAGCTACACTGGCAACTCCTGTTAATCTCTCTTGAAACAGCAACCATACATCCCCTTCCTGCAATCCCCATCCTTCCTGCAGAGTGTGTTGCACAAAGCCAGCCACACACCGCACAGGGAGCTCCCAGTCCTTCCAGATGAAGGATGCTACCTAACGGTAAAGATATTACTGTGATTATTTTTGCACTAGCATATTGCTCTGTGCATTCCGGGCTCTGCGGACCACATCCACGCCTGGTGTAACGCCATGTTAATTTGCTGTGGCAATCATTAATTGGGTAAGGAACAGCTGGTGCTTTGCTTTAAGTGAAGTTGATTGGGTCAGTAACTGTTTGGGTAAATGATGTACAGCAGGTAAAGCCTTGCCTCTGTCTGCACTCCAGAGGGGTTTCACTTCTTGTCCCAGTGACCCTTGGAGGAAGCAGTACAATTTGGCCATGAAACATTAGGGAACTGTAATCAGTACAGTTCCTCTGGGCATTTTTGCCTGAATTTTAATATTTTGAATAATAAAGAATGATTTTAAATTAAATTTGTGGGCTCACCATCTGTGTGTGCTTGGCCTTGTTTTCCGCTGCTTTGGCAGTCCCTTGACTTTGTTCTTTCCAAGTTGCAGCAAAAAGGAAGGGAACAAGAGGTCTGGTGCTCTCCCTTCTTTTTCCCTTTGTCCTGCAGCAACCAGTGTTGCACAGCACTGAGCACACCAATGGGAGCCAGGCAGCACCCTGTGGGATAAAAGCTGCTGAGTGCAGTGAGGAATACCGTACCTAGAAAGCAACACAGCTGAGCATCCCTCCAGTCCTGCTCAACTTCTCCAGTGCATCCCACCCACGTGGGATGGCTGTGAGCTCTGTGCAGGGACTAGTTGGACAGTACCTTGGAATCTTAGGGGCAGGATGCCTCCCTACAGCCGAGAACTAAAGGAGAAGCAGTCATTTGTGCAAGAGGAAGAGAAGAGAGCCCAAGATCATGTGGTATGATTTATGTTCACTACATGGCTTGAACAAGGCAATACCCATCATTTGCATCCCCTCTCCTGTCTCTGCCCAGTCACGTGCTTCTTGTTCTCTGCCAGTTCTGATGCTCATTTGCTAGCTGTTTTATTTGCTATAGTGGCAGAAGAATGACAATCAGGGCATACCAATGAATTATTTGTTGGTTGCTGAGTCAAACTGACTCTCCGTGCCCCTAGACAAATAGCAGAGCTGCTGTGTGGGTAAGGAGGTACGGCAGGAGAGGATGAGCTCCATCCTTCCCAGTAATGGGCAGCTGCTAATTACACAGGAAACAAGAGAAAAACCACACATCTTTAAGCACCAGGGTCTCCTGGCCTCCATCACAGGGTGCCAATCTGGAATCCTTGAGCAAGGACCTGGAGGGCTCCTGCTCCCCCAAAGATGCATTCTCCAGTGACTGCAGCATCTTCTGGCAGCCTGTCCTTGGGACAGCAGTGATGATGAGGTCACCTGGTCCTTGGCAAAGGCAAGAGCATCATTGTGGGCTCAGCATCACTGCCTGGATGGTGGGGAAAGGGGGAAAAAGATTTATTCTTACAGGGATTAAAAAAAAAAAAAAAAAAAAAAAAAAAAAAAACCCAAACCACCAAACCTGACCCAACAGAACAAAACCAACCCCAACAAGTATCTCACAGCCAGAAAAGCTTTTTAAAGCCTCATGAATATTTAGCTTGTCCTCATGTAAAATATATGACTTTGTGTAAGGATCAGGCAAAGGAGGTGCATGATTTTTTTCTGATTTATGGGCCCAGCAACGGATTATTCATAGCAGAGCAGCTGTGTGGAAAGATTCATCCACTGCAAAATGTGATTGTACATCAGGCAGTGTGAGGGAACAGAGCTATGACTAATGGCTACTTTACATATAAATGAGAAGGTTGGCGCTAAGAACTGTAAAAAGAAAAAAAATACAATCACTCAGCTGACGGACCCAGCCTCTTCCTGCAAGCACTGCACAGGGGCCCGGAGAAGACAGAAAAAGGCTGCCTGGAGGCACTGCCTCCCCTCGTATCCTCCACCAGGCCATAAATAAGGTAGCAGCAGTCAAGGCATCCGAAGGCCAGATTTGTTGCTGGTGTCAACACACAGGCTGCAAGAGAAAGCAGGAGCAGGGATGTGCCCCCTGGTTGGGCTGGGGCAGACCCAGCCATGCCCAAAGGTTGAAGGCAATGCTTTGGGGTGCCCGGCACAGCCCCATGCCCCTCCCACCTGCAGCCCCTCCAGCCACATTGTCTAGACGCTACAGATGTGGACAGATGTTGGGGCTGTAATTTATATCAATGGCCTCCAGAAGGCAATTCTAATTTGTTTCGCTAAAGCTTTAAGTTACAGGCAGCAAGATCTCCTGTAAATACTCTTGACTTACTCAGTAAGTATGTAAGAGCCTGGCAAATGCCCATGATCACTGCTTTCCTTGTGCCTCATCGTTCTTGGGGGTGGCATTATAATCCACAGGTCCAAAAGCCATCGTGCACTGATGAGAGGCTCAGCAGGGCCCAAAAAACCCAAGTTACTGACTAACAGGGTTCACGGGTTGTTTCTCTACCATCACTCACCTGCTTAAGTGAGAGGGATGCTTCCAGTGAGAGACCCAGCTTCCAGCTCTCACATCACAGGGAACATCCCTGCAATTCGCCACCTGAAGGACCATTTGAAAAAGCGAACTTGGAGCTCTTTAAGAGATTCCCAAGGGGAAACCCTCTCCCAAGGCAATATGACTCTCACAGGAGAGGGTTTCCCTACTGGGAATCCTTCCACAGCCAGTGAAAAGCATAGAGTTCAGCCTTTTCTCTTTTCCAGACTCCCACCAGTCCTCTTCAAAGCAGCCCACAGTAGACACTATGAGGCATTCTCCCTTCACTGGACACCATAAAATATCCCAAATAATCTTTTCATGCTGTGCTAACCAACTTGGTGAACTGTAGCAAAGGACATAATGACAGTAGTGACACTGCACCCATGGGATGAAAAGGCAGCACAAAGGAAGGATGCATCCTTCCAAGGTTTGAGTTGGATTGGAGACACGCTCTCTCTGGATTTGCAGCTGCAGTTCTGCAGTCTTGTGCCATGCTGGGAGAGCCCAGAAAGACAAACGCCCTGGTCCTCAAGGGGTGGGAGCAGAAACACAACTATACTTTGCACAATGCCTGTCGCTTTTGGTCCAGAGTAATTAAAGCAATGGGAAAAAGCAGTTTTCATGGTTTTGGCCAAATTAAAAAGTCATCCTTTCCCCAGCCCCCAAAAGTTTAATTTCAGATTTAATGAAACATTTAATTTGAAGTAATACATCTTGATTGGAAGGGAAGCAATGTTTTGAATTAAAGTAAATAAAGTAATAAATTATTTATTGCTCTTTAATTTGGATTTTGTTTTCTGGCTGAATTCAAGGTGAAACAAAAATCACTGTGAGCTCCCAAATACTGCTTGCTCACAATGGTAAATAAGTTTTCCAGTCCACATGGGACAGCAGGGTGCACAAGGAAGGGACTGCTTTCGTGGAATCATTACAGTTACAAAGGACCCTTAAAGGCCATCTGGTCCAACCCTCCTGCAACAAACAGACACCTACAGCTCCATCACGTGCTCAGAGCCCTGTCAGGTCTGACCTTTAGGTATCTCCAGGGACCACCTCTCTGGAGGCTGTTTTGGCACTGTTCTGGTTGATTTTGCATCCACAAAGACCCATTTCCATGTTTCCTTATACACCTGTATCAGTGCTGGGGAGGCACAAATGTTCTGCATTTCATCCCACAGCACCCACCCCTGTTCAAGGTGAAAGCATGGTTTCATCCATGAATAGGCACCCAGCAGTGGATTCACTCCTCGTTTCCTTTTAAACGGAGAGAGGCATCTCAGCTTTCGGTTATCCCTAGATATGCACATAGGTATTCCAGGTGCACACTACTCAACTGCACCCCATCCCAGCCCAATGACACAACCCAGGTTTTCATTAAAAGGGAATGGGTCAGCAGTGGAAGGAAAGTACCCCAGTCTACCTTGCACATACGTCTGATCCAGCCTCCAGAGTAAAATAGTCCCAAGTGCCCCCTTACCCCACCACTTCAGAGGCATATCACTCCTGACTCAGAATTTCCAGAACCCAGGTGGGATCCCACCTGCTGATGAAGGCTGGAGTGCAAGGGGACCCCCAAGTAAGCAAACCAGCAGAGAAGGGGATGATGGAGCTTTGAGATGCTCCTCAAGCTGCATCCAGCCCCCCCAGATCCCTTCAGCCTCCAGAGAGCATGGCTGTTTTGGGGGGCTGGACTGGACTCTTTCCTCCGCTTGCTCAAGCACTTCCAATTAAACCCAGTGGAATTCAATCTATTCCTCTTAATAAACTTCCCTGTTTTCCTGCCAACTCCCCTCCGGACACCAAGACACTATTACTCCAAACACAACAGGAAAGGGCTATTTTTTTCTGCAAACTTTCTGACTGAAGAGACAGCACGATTCCCCCCTAGCAGGATCTGAGCTATTAGGATCCATGAAAATTAACTGCAAATAAACATTTGGGGAGGGGAGCAGGGGGGCTGCTGAGCTGCAGCAGAAGGGATGCTCACACACCCGCTTCCCAAGACGGACAAATTACGGGGGACCCAGCATGGGGACATGGACCTCCAAGCACTTGCATCTCTGGGGATACTGCCCCCCATCTCTCATCTCAATGTATCCGAAGTATGCGGTTGTGTGTGCGGGGGGCGGAAAATCCCAGCATCCCCTTCCTCATCCCCACACCATACACACACATGGTCCCATCCATCCCCATGAGCCTGTCTCCACCGCTCAGCCCCAGAAGATTGATGCAGCCGTCGCCCCGCTCCCAAAGCCCTGGTCGCAGCTTTGCAAGGCAGGAGCCTCCTTCTCTGCTCTCCTCTCCCTGACAGATGCCTCAGAGCCCGGGGCCGCAGTTAAGGTGACAAGATTCAGCAATTCTTTATGAACATTTCATTCCCGCTCGCTACACGACGTAAATTAGATGGTGTGTTACATTCGGGCAAGAAGCACGATATGTCACCGCGGCGCCGGCCCATTGGATGGAGAGGCTAATCCTGCCGTGAATTTCATTACTGCTTTTATGCCATCGGAATTAGCTCGGTGACAGCGAGCCTGATTGTCTTTCACTAGGGGTTTGCCAGGGCACAGGAAGGCATCCTTCCTCCCTGATGGGAGCACCATGGAGTGACCCCTCTCCGTGTCCGGGGCTCAGGAGCTCCAGCATTCCTCCTACTGGCACTGAAATAAACATGGATTGGCTGAACCCATCCTCTGACACCCTGTACTCATCCCTACACGTCCCATTAAGGAGCTACTCCTATGGCTGTGCCTCATGCCCAGAGACACTCAAGGTTAGACTGGACAGGTCTCTGGGCATGCTGACCAAGCTATAGGTGTCCTTGTTCATTGGAAACGTCCCTTCCAACTCAAATGATTCTGATTCTAACTAGGGAACAAAGTTAGGAGCATGCAAACCCCCGAGCAGCCAGCACTTACCTAAGGTGACATATTGCCAGCAGGTCACAGTGACCAGAATAGAGGCTCCAGACAAGCAGCAGAGATCATCAGGAGCACCTGGAGAGCATGAGCAGAACATAGGCCTGGGGTTGGATGCATGCACATGCTATGCGCGTGGCAAGGACTGCTTTGCAGTGTCCCTAACAAAACTAGGGGTATTGGAAACATGCCATCAGTTGTCTCCTGGTGTCACCTCCATACACAGCTTTCGGGGTAGCCTGAGCCTGCCTACCGTGTCTCATAGACACCACAGCATGCCTTCTTCAAGCCCAGCTTCTGGAAAGCCCTCCTTCCCTCAAGGTGTGTGCTGTGGCCAGAACAGCCCCAGCTATTCCTCTTCATTTATCTCCTCTCCGTCCCCCTGCCAAGGTTTTGCACCCTACCAAGCTCCCTTTTCTACCTCTGTCCCAAATTCAGGTGCCACCATCCCCTTAATCAGCAAACACTCATCTGCAAACCCAAGCAGCATATGACATATGAAACCACTCACCTTTTTTCTTCTGGTGCCTCCCAGCAGCGATCCACTTACAGGGAGCATCAGTGCAATGCCCTCCACGGCTCGAGATGTTGAGGTACGCAACACTTGGAGGTTGAAGGTGATGCTAGTAGTAAGCTACCTGGTTGATCTGATCCATTCTGCACCTGAGTACATGTACAAGAACAAAACTGAAGGCAATAGAGACCCATTGATCATCACTGCCGGTCAGCCCTGCACGTGTCCCCAGCATCCTCCATTGCTCCAGCCTCTATGCACCCTGCAAAATACGTGAGAGACTTTAAAGCTACAACACCAGCAGATAAAAATAAAACTTTCAACGTTTCTGAGATGAAAACAGGTGAACAGCTCCTGAAAATCTCTCTCCCATCAGCACAGATCCCATGGCACCTTTGGATGACAATGCTTAAAGCGCAGGCTGTTCCCTTTACAGCATCACCCAGGGACCGAACGAGCCCTGCTGTGTGAGGTGCTGCACAAGGCACAGGGGAAAAGTCTCCTAACCCTACAAGCAGGAAAGCTCTCATCTACAGCTGAGAAAGGACTCCTTCCCACCTCCTGGGAATAATTTGCCAAAGGGCAAGCTAAATTGGGAACCCATCCCTAAGAGAACATCTAAGAGCAGTAATGGCCCAACTAAGGGATGCTCCAGCAGGAAACCTGGACAGAGCTGAAAATATTGAAATCTGAGAGTACCAAGATCTGGAGCTCAGCTCTGTGTTTCCAGCCCCTCCTGTAGCTCACAGGACCACGAGGATGCAGAGCCTTAACACGTCTATTAATCCAAGCACTCTCCCCTTAGGTAAGCACTTTGGGAATCTTGCCTAGTCCTTTGCAGTAATACTCCATTAGCCCTTCACTCTAAATCTAATTAGGGAGAGGAGTAGAGGGTAGGGATGGGGAAGAGGGGGCGGAAGTGAACAAACTGATTTGGGATGATGAACTACAGCAGGGATGCGTCAGAGAAAGGTAAAAGAAAAGAAGCAGCCAGACTTAAATGATTGCAGGACAAGAACCTGAAGTGGATGTGGGAAGAAGGTGTGGGAGAAAAGGGGTCCTGGGTTGGAGCCCACCCCGAGCCACCCCACAGTAACACCCCCCTCAAACCTCTCCTCGCAAGCTGTCCCAGCACCAGGCTCCACCACGCAGGTCCCCCGGCGCCATCTCGCCCCAATTTGCCCCCAGACATGGAAAGCCTGGAACATATCATCCATCGTGCAGCCCAACACAGCTCAGATGAGGCCAGGAGCTGAGCAGAGCAAAAATAAAAAAGTCACCAGGACTCCCCATATCATATATATATCAGCCAGCAACGGCTCCACTGGGAACAGAGGTATTCAAGCATTGGAAAGAGAGTGCTTAGCAGTAAAATAGGTCCTGGAAGCCCTCGGGCACTATTTACTGGGGAATGAATCTACCTTGGTGACTGATTGCAGCCTTTTAACCTGGATAAATCAGATGACAGATAGGAGCGTCTCCCAGGTAGCCCTGCCGGCAGGTACCTCCAACACAGCCCCATCCATTTCAAATATCTCTGTCACCTATCAGGGGACATGTCCCCTGCTGTGCAAGGGTAGCTCCACTGAGGGATCAGCAGGCAGAGCGTTGCCAGCTTTCGGAGTGCCTCTGCTCTCTATTTACAGTGGGAATGGCAAGGGAACCATCTCTAGCCCCCTGTGCAAGAAGAGCCCAGGGCAACCACAACTGCACCACAGCAAATGAAGCCAGCAGCTCTGCTACTGCAGGCACAGTGAAGCACAGAAGTAGACTGAGCTGTAGGGGAAAGGGAAGCCCTAAACTCCCCTCTGCCACCCCCAGGACTTGATGCATCTCTTCAGCCTGCAAAAGCCCCATCCATCCCCAAATAGCCCTGGAACAGGGAGCCCAGGCAGATGCCTCCCCCTTTTCCCACTTTATAGGTTCTAGGGAGAAAGCAAGAGGCAGGAACAGGTGTTCTCGCATCCTCTAACCCAATCGTCTGCTCTGCCTGCTCTCCCTAGCACAGCTCCCACCCAGGGCCAGCTGCTGATGTTCAGGAGAATTAATTATTCACCCTGAAATAACAGCCTTCACCAAGAGAGTTAAAGAAGCAGTGCTCAGCTCCAGCAGGGAGTTGGGCTGGACAATCTCAGTTCCCCAAAGCCATTGGTGTTCTCAAATGAAAGACTTCTACCCAAAACTTTGTCAGCAGAGGTCACGTGGGGGGAAGATGTGAGAACATCCAGTTTGGCTGGATAAAAACAGTGTGTTCTACAAAGCCTAAACTTGCTCCTGGCTTTCTGTTGGCTTGGAGGAAAATGAGAAATAAAGCCAAATTAATGTATATTGTTTGCATTCCCACATATGGGATCGCTCCCTTCCATGTTATCCTCATTCAGAATGGTACCAACACTTGCACAATGGGCACGGGGCATTTGCTGGGACCGGCTCTGGGTAGGTGATGCAGATGGGGCAAGAAAGCAGCTGCCAGCCAGGATGCACTCAGGATGCTAAAAGAGGGATGAAGGCACGTGTGTGGGGAACAGGGATCCACCCAGGGGCTGGGCTCCCAAATCCATCATGGATCACACCATGAAGCAGTGCTCAGCCAGCATTAGTATGCAAAGACTGTGAGCTGAGAGAGGGGGAGAGAGAAGGAGAGAGGCAGGGAGGGGGAAGAGAGAGGAAAAGCCAGTTGTTTTATTCATGGCTGGTGATATTATAGACTGAGTGAAAATCACATTATCGTAATGGGAAAGTTAGAGTTGCTGTGATGATGCCCTGAAGCTTGTGTGCTGATTGGGGTGTGATTGCTATCTGTATTTATATGTAGAAAGCAAAGTTCACTGCCAGTTCAAGATGGTGGAGCCTGCTTCTTCATGCTACATAATTCTTCAGTAGGGAGAAGCTGGGAGCAGCGGTGTGGGAGATGTGGTAGCCAGGGGTGGGTGTGAGTCAGCCCCACAGCGCTGCTTTTTGGTGCTGCCGGGGGAAACCCAGCCTCCATCCTGTTTGGGGGTTAGGGGGAGGGAAGGAGGAAAAGAGAGAGATGCTGGAAGCAAAGCATCCTGTCCATGCTTGTGCATCATGTCACCGTCCAGCTTTCTCCCTCCCTGTCCAAAGACTTCATATGGGGAGGAGCAGCCTTGGACCCTCCATGCTTGGGCAAGGGAGGCCATGTGGCTGCAGGTAAGTCTGGATGGTATAAATGCACCTTCAGAAAAGGGTAGTGTTCCAAGGGCTCCCAAAGCTCCAAGCATAAACAACATCCTCCACCAGGCCTGGCACTCACGCCTGGTTAATTCAGCACAAGGGGATTTCTGTTCACTAGTTTGGGTTTTTAGATCCGAAAGTGACACCCATTAAAAAGACAGACCATTAACTGTGCATCTGTCAGCACTAACGCAGAGGTTATATCAGCATCCCTCCTCCCAAGGACACACCTTGCAGCGGGCTTCCATGTCTGCAGGGTGTGCTGGCATCCATGGGGTGCTGTCATCTCCTGTTTGTGGGTCCATTGAGGAGAATAACAAAGATTCAGTTTCAGTGAAGGCTGAGGTCTGTTTATCAAACCACAGCAGAAAGAAATAAAAATGGCCAGTGTAGCAAAAGAAAAGAGAGGGTGCATCACTGGAGAAGTGGGGAAGAGCAGAGGAAAAGGATAAATACGCTTCAATTCCCTGCTGAGTTTTGGTAGGTTTATAGAGAGCTACCAACTGTGCTCCACTCCCACTGGAGCACCTTCTTTGTGGCTGCTCAGCCCCATGCCTCCTGTCTTGCTGTTGCATTTCTCCTGTCTGCAGCAGTGCAGAGGGACTTTGGGATGCTGCATGTACAGGGATGCTGTGTGCTCCCGGGAGGCAGTGTGCTCCAAGGATGCTGCGTGCTCCAGCGATTCTCTATCTCTGAGGATGCTGTGTGCTCCAGGGATGCACCATGCCCTGCGATGCTGTATGTTCCAGGGATGCTGCGTGCTCCAAGAGTGCTGAGTGCCTGGGGATGTTAAGTGCTCTGCAGGAACGGCTCAGCCCCAAGGTCAGCACCAAGGACAAGCTTTCTTTCCCGTGCAGAGCTCAGCCTTGGCATTTCCAAAGGCACACGGTGGCAGCGCCAGGTCCTGGGTGCCAACCCCAAGTGCCCTCAGCACGCCAGATGGATGCTCACGCTCCCAAAGAGCAGCCGTTACCTCGCCCGCCTTCCTCCTGCTGAGAGAGTCAAATGTGGCCCTGGGCTGTACCATGCTGCAGAGCAGAGCTTGCCTCGGCCCCCACCTGTCCTCTCTGCCTGGCGGCACAGCATGGGCTGTGGTGGGAGGAGGGCTAGCTGGGACCTTGTGCCACCTTTGTGCCATTCAGTTCCAACATGGCCGACAGCAGATACTCCAAAAGCCTTGTTTCCCAGCCGTGAGCTTAAGGCACTGCTCACTTCTGTTGCCCCTGCAACCTCCAGGTGGACCAGGAGGTGTGAGCACCCTGAAGTGACTAAAGAGAGATGAAGGTCTACTTATCTGCATATGCACGCACAAGAAGATACTTCCCTCTTCCCACAACACTGCCTCCCTCCCTTCCTTCCCTCATCCGTTTTTCACACTTTAACCAGAATCAGCAACTTCTGTCACCTGCTGCTACCTGGCGTGTCCCTCCCCGTGCCGGCTGAGCCCGTTGGAGCCCACAGATGTGTGATTAACTGTGGTGAGCATTGCTGGCGAGGCACCGCGGCGCGCTCCCCGTCTGGCTGATGAGCGTGCAGCTGGAGCAGAGCTCCCTGGGGTCCCCTGCTGCTCGCTGCAACGCACCGGGTCGGGGGGAGGAAGGTGTCGACATGGTGGGGAGGTATTTGAGCATTAAGCCATTTCTTTTCCCTATGAGGTTCCTGGAAGCGCAGCTTTTCCTGCCTGGAAAAGCATCTGGCTGAGACTCCAGTGGAGTTGTGTAGTCTATAGCCCAACATGAGCTGTGCAGGGGAAATAGAAAGCAAAGGGAGAAGGGCACTGGGAGAACACTGGCACAAATGGGCCCTGTGCCCTGCTCTGCACAGCACCCAGTGCCAACAATTACCCCGAGCAGGAAAGGGGGGACATGCGGATGAATGGGTGTTTAGGAGAGATCTACAGGTGGAGGGATGGATGAAGGGCAGCCCACATGGGTGGTGGGTCAGGGCAAGGTTCCGGTGCACACTCCCTAATTCCTCATATTAATTTCCTTTCCCATCTGCTGCAGGGAAACCAAACACTCCCAACATTTCCTTATTCTGCACTTCTCCCTCTTTCTGACAACTCATGGAGGCAGATCAGCTACCGAGACCCTCAAACTGATTTCTGCGCCCAGAACAGGGATGAAAGTTTGAGCTCTTGAGGAAACAAGCAGGTCAGCAGCTCCTATCTCAGAGGATTGTAGGAGCACAGAAAGGCTGGGTTGGAACTGACCATATAGATCATCTAGTTCTGCAGTGGGTTGGTTGCCCACCACCAGATCAGGGCCCCGAACCCCATCCAGCCCATCCTTGGGCACCTCCAGGGGGCACAATGGGAGAGCTGGGTGGCATCTTGCACAAAACTTAAAGCAAACTGAGCTCTTATGCAGAAACTTCACTTTGGTAGGAATCTCCTCCTTATTTATTCATGGTTCTGCAAAGCCCCCGTGTACAATTTGGTTCTTGGTTGCATTTTTTTGACAACCAGAGGCTTGTTCTGATTTTTTGGAAGGCCTGACACAAAATCTGGCTTTGAAAGCTGGTTTCAGGAGGGAGAGAGGACAGGTTGCACCCAGCCGCTCATCGTAGGAAAAAAAGAAGTGAAGTTGCAAGCAACACGGAGAGGCAGAAGGAAAATGTCAGTGCCATGTCACAGCTCCAGTGGGTATGGGACAGCTCTCAAACCGGAATGTGAAAGGGCTGTTTGGGATTAGGTAACCTCTGCTTCATAAATTATGGTGAGTTGAGGGGGGCCAAGCATGGCCTTGGGAGGAGGTCCCAGCCGGTTCCTGTTTCACCCAAAGTGGGTCACCTGTCCCAGCTCTGGTTCCCTCTCACTTTCAATCTTGGCTTCCTCTTGGGGCACCAGGCACCTCGCCACAGCACCCTGCTCCTGCTCACAACTATCTTGATCTCACCCCATTGCCTTTCTTTCCCTTCCTGTGAGCCATTTGAGCCCTGCAGGGCCAGGGGCATGGATGCAGCCCCCTCCTTACCCCATGGCACTGGGGGTCTCATGCTGGTGAGGCTTTGCCAGCCACATGCTGGCAAAGTGAAGTCACACAGTTCATCCCCAGCTGTAAGTGATTTACAGCTGGGGATGAGCTGTGTGACTTCACTTTGCCAGCATGTGGCTGGCAAAGCCTCAGCAGCATGCATTCCCCTAGTGGCATCGTGCATTCCCCTAGTGGCATCGTGTTCAGGACACATCCCCCCCCCCCATCTCCAAAAGTGCTGCAAAGCTGCACCCTACCCCCACC